GATCGATTATATGTCAAACTCTCCTCCCCCCCGCAACGACACTGGAGCAGTAGGCGCCCATAATACTGGCGGCTTTGCGCTAAAATCATGGAAATTAGGGCTACAGTTAAGCTTAGGGATGAGATTAGGACTGAGTTTTGGATAATGGTTGATGTTAGATTATGCCATGGGAATATTTACCGCTTTTTGGAATGAAACCCAAGGCGAGCTAATATTCAGGGGGTAGGACGTTCATATTCGCGTACCCTGCCGACGCGAAGGAGGGGCTATAACCGATTCCGACCTAACAGTAGCCCACTTCGGAATTATGCGCATTCATCCACAGCATTGCAATCGAAGCCGTCATCATTGCAGGCTATCCATATGCTTCATTTTTGTAGACCGTTTGTACACGTCAACGGGGGTCCCGTCAGTTCGGAGGTGACTGTGCAGGGTCTTGTGTGCCAACAAAAGGTCAACATATATCAATTGAGTGAGTCCTCATTGGAGGCCCAGGCATCAATCAATAAGTTGTGACTGGGTGCTCACACATTGGTTACAGAATCCGCCCGTTCCGTACTGCTCACTCTCAAATCCCATTAGCTACCACACAGCGGCTTGTCATACTTCCACCCGACTTGTGTGAGTGGCTTGTTTTCTGTCGCCTTTATTTCTAACAATGGACTTCTGTACGAGTTCGAAAGTTCAGCTGGATAAAGAACTGATTCCAGCGATTGAACAGGCAGCTTCTTCCCTACTTATACATCTGGAATGCGAAAATTCGCCTAAATATGCATTAATGTTAAAAATTAGGAAAATAATTGTCGGGGTATGAAACAGTAGCCAAACTAAGGATTTACTTCGAGGATTGAGATGACCGATTCGGGGCAAACCAAAACCCTGTGCCACGACTATACCTACTCACGGAATGAATTCCCCGTAAAAGTTAAGCCAAACCAGTGCCATGAAGGCAGGATAGCCGGAGACACCAAAACGAGCAAAAAGTATAGTGTGAAACTACAAACCTGCAGGTCAGCGTAGAGGCGAACGAGTTGTTGCCGTTGTCGTTCTTTAATGGGCAATTCCTCACGTCGATGACGTCTCAGTTCTGCCAGCACAAGTTGTTGCATACCCTCTAGATCGGCGGGAAAGTGGCGATTCGCCAGTCGATCACAAGTTGCACGCAACCATTCTATGAGTTCTATAGCCAGAGTTCGGTACTCTTTCCAGACAGTATGCAATTCTTCGCCGAGGGCCCGATCGCCATTTAAGGCAGGAAGGGAGAGTTTGGTGGCAAAGTCCGCAGCATCAGCAGCGGACTTTGGTAGGGGAGGGATTGGGTGTTTCAGGCGTTCTCCAGTCACGAGGTCCCGCGGCCCCAGTGCCAGTGTATCGTAGATAGAGGATAGGTAGATGATTATTGAACGTTCATCCACCGCACCATCCCGGAGCATATCTACAACGATTTAATCATTAAGATAAGTAACACTCCTACTTTAATTTTATAAGTAGCTCTTTTAATTAATTCTAGGACCTCGGCAGCACAGCATATGAACTGTCACCAAAACCCACCAAACATAAACAAAACCAATAAATACGTACAAGCAAACTAAATACGGACAGCTTAGAATATACAGCTTCTCGTCATCGACTTAAAACTCTGAAAAAACATCCGTAAACCTCAACTACACAAAGAGCGTTACCAGAGAGAGCGTCTTCCTGCCTTCCATTCAATTAACTGGGCCTCGCATATTTTCGACTATTCAGAAAGTGTTACACAAAAAAACTC